GATCAAAAGTTTAATCTGAGTAAATGTAACATTTTACAGGAGATATATGTTGAGTCAAAATTTCACAATGTCTATAAATCCCAAAAAAGTTGGAACACGGCCATTTTTACCACTCTGTGGCATCTCCTCTTCTTCTTACAACACTCANTGTGTGCTGGGCCGGCTGGAGTCAGAGCCGGCTAGCTTTACCGCGGTGAGTTATCTACATTCTCAGCTAGAACAGGCCTGTCTGGATACATACCGACTCTCTGCGGTTTTGTTTCGGGTTCCCAGCAGGGATCCTCCGCTCCGCGATCATCCTCCATCTTTTCCTCCAACGAGAAGCTTTTCTTTAACCCCTGAACTCTCCCAGCTGAGGAAATTAAGACATTATTACTGAAATATTCAGTAAAGGAATGAAAACACAACCGACCTCCAGCTGCTGCTGCAGCCTGTTTGTTTTACTTCCGCTGGGTGAAGCTGAGAGAAGGCAGCTGATTGGTCCATTTACCGCCGCCTGCAGGACTGGAGGGGAACAGCAGAATGGCAGTAAAAACTAACAAGCTTAAATTGAAAAAAAAAAAAGTTACTGCTAATGTTTTTAAAAAATAGACATAATAGCAAGTGCAGGTTAAGGAGTTTCACATTTTTTCATGGAATAAATGAACTGAATTTATAAGACAGAATTATGCTAAAACTAGCAGCAATATTTTCTCATCATCCAAAAAATGTGCTTTAATATGATCTTCCAGAAATATAAACATCCCATAAAATAAAATGCTAAAGTTTTATGTTTTCTGTTTGCCTAAAAGAGAAATAAAATTGTGTCCTGTGGCAGATACTTGGCAAAAATTGTAAGTTGTCTTCCCAAAGATAGTGTAATATTTGTAGTTTTAAATTAGTTGTTTGGCTGGAATGAGGGCAAAAATGGTTCTGGACTGTAAAAGTAGCAGATCCCTGGTATAAACTTCTTTGGTAAAGTTTTTTTTTGTTTGTTTGTTTTTTTCAAATGTTTCAGTACTTAGGATTCCTCTTTATATCCTTATATAACCAGATTTAATAAAACTGTCTTTAAGAACAAATAACCTTTCAGTACCAGGATCCTACATGTAAGAAAATAAAGACAAAAAAAGCTCAGGTGAAAATCCAACAGAGCCTCAATGTCTTATTAAAAAAGATAAACAAACAGTTGATTATGAATGAAAATTTAATGGGAGAAAATGTTTCCAACATTGAGCAGATTTGAATCTGTAGCTTTAGACCAGCCAATCAGACTTCCTTTCCTGCAGCTGTGTGGGTTTGTGCTCTGCAGCCTCCACACCGTTAGCTGTGGCTTCTCACTTTAATAACACAATGACAGTTACAAGCATCGACTGAAACAATGGTTCAGGAAGCACCTGTGTTCTTCATCTGAGAGAGAAACAGCTCAGAGCTGAACTCACAGCTCAGCAATCAGCTCCGACGAAAACCAGAGACAAAAATAACAGAGACAGCAGCAGAGATGATTACACAAATATACTGGATTAGTCAGGTAATAAACCATTAAACATAACACTTAATAACTGAAAAATTGAGTTCCAGATGTGTTTGATTCATCTGTCAATGTCGACTGGGATAAAAACGGCTAACGGTGAGTTAGCATCCAGATCTGCGGTTCTGTTTTATGCATCATCAGAACAATCTGAACTCTGCACATCATGAAAATAAACCCAGAAAATACTGAGTTAGTTTCTCCTGGACCTGTTGGTCTGAAGTCATGCCAGAGACACTTTAAACAAAAATACTGAAAGAACAGAAGAAAAACCTTTAGGTGAATTGATGCTCGACCCAAACAAAGATTCAGCTTAAGATGAAATCTTATAGAAATACTGTTGTGTTGGTATTCACAGTAAGGATTTCAGAAAAACTTGGTGTGCGGTAGAATCATGTAAAATACCACAGAAGAAGAACGATGGCAGCTGTGAAGCCTCTGATTGGTCCTTAATGAGAGACAAAAGATGTTTTCGTGTTTAAAGTTGAATTTGCAAATTTATATTTATATTTTTCAGATCTATTAGCTGTTTAACTGACAAACGACGTCAGGAGACATTTCTACTGAACAGACAGAATACTATTAACTCTGTGGACGTTTTGAACCACAGTTCAAGAAATTTATTTTTTAAGTTTGTTTTTCTAAATTACCTTTCTTGAATTTAAAGAATTTATAATTATGCCTAAAAATATTTATTCTAAATCAGTTTTTTCTACATACTTTGACATGGAACTAGTCCATTGTTGGTGACACATAAAATCTCCCAGAATTGGACCTAACATATTTTAATTTTTAAACACCAGCCTCATCTTTCCTAATGATCCAGGAGTTATTATGGGATGTTCTTCTGCTCCCAGTTATTCCAGTTTCTCCCACCAACCCTTCAGTTTCCAGTCATGTTGGGTTTTAATCCACAGCAGCCCTCACGTATGAAAGGTGATGCAAACCACGACAAATCACTTCAGATCTTTAATATAGTGTTTAATGTGACAGGTATACATTTTATTTAAAAAATGAGAAACATGTAAATCAGGTAGAATACAAACAAAAATAAAAAGTGCAGCAGCTGCTGGTATAAATGTTCACACTTAAAGCACCTTCAGGTTAAACATGAGCCGTTTGGTTGGTTGGTCTGTCTCAGCCTCTCCATGTCCAGCAGCTTTAACAACGAAACATCAGTTATTTACAGACCATAACAGAAACATCAAGCAACATGAAAACACAATTCAGTCTCCATGGCAACGGCTGGGAGGAGGTCTGTGGACACTTCATGAACTCAGAAAGTCACAATGGGATTATTAAAAATATATTTTAACAACCAGCTCACTTATACTGCCAGTCCAGACCTTCAGTTTAACAGATAGACAGATTAATTACAGATTAATGTGCTTGTTTGCGTTTCTGAATGCAGAAAGCTTTAAAAGAAGAAGAAATGTCTCTGGACTCTGCAGCTCTGCTCGTTTCCACTTTATCCACAAAAGTCCAGGATCTCATCTGGAGCCGACAGCAAACGTCTCAAACTGATCCGACTTAAGAACAGAAATGATTCTTCAATAAAATCAAACTGATTTATGGTCAGTAACATCACTGGATCCAGTCCATTAGTTTAGAGCTGCCTTTGATGAATAAACTGGAACATCAAACTGTCGTCTTTCTACCTTTAATCATTGTACATTAGTTTACCACTGATATCCTGTTTCCTGCTCAGTTTTTGTCTAAATATGCAACTTCAATCAACATGTTGCTGAAAATGTCCAACAGTTCAGTTTATTATTCCAACTGGTTGAATGTCTGATGATATAATAAATGAATCTGTTCTGCTGATCATGAGGAGCTAATAAAGCTCATTTATATTCAAGCCTTTAGCTCAGAGCTGAAAACGTTGTATCCATGGCAACAGCTCCTAATGCGTCGCATGTTCGGATTATTCCTGCTTTCAGTAACTGTGCTGGTTTTGGGATCTTAGTTTCATGTTGGTACATCCAAAGGCTCCTCTGGGGTCAAAGTTAAAATTAGCTTCACTTCTTTTCCCTCTGGTGCTTCACTGAACGAAGAACAAACATGTTTTAACCAAAAGGCATCAGAAAGTTTATCAAGTGAGACGTCTTATTTGTTATTTTAATGTAATGCATGCGGGTCGCTTTGGGGTCGTAAACCGTTCACACTGAAGTCTGATGGCGTTTGAATTTAAATTAGTAGCATGATCAACAACACTAGGGCTGAAACGATTCCTCGAGTGACTCGAGTCCCTCGATTATTAAAATTCCTCGAAGAAAATTTACCTGGTTTGAAGCTTCGTTATATTACGTTTTATTATTTAGCGCACCGTGTTCCGGCCGGGACTTTATTTGCGTTGCGTGTCGCTCTCACTTCCGCCTCTGAGTTGTTGAGGAAAGCTAAGTGTTAGCTGCATAATGTCCAATCTTCCAGTTCGGCCTGCAGGGATTTTACTGATTGGTGATAATTTCGGGTTTTCATCGTTTTTGGGAACCAATAAACATCCTTAAAATGACCGGAGCGATCCGGGAGTCCAGCAGCCTTTCTGCTCCGGAGCTGCTGGTTCAGAGCTGAGGAGGATTTCTACAGGCAGAGGCTGAACACGGCGGGCGGCTTTAGATGCGCAGCTTTTACTGAAAATACCGGAACATAAACTTCATATCATCCCGGTCTCAACAAATGGGTGGCGAAGCGCATCGTGACGTTACTGACCTGTAGATGTTTCTGTGTGGATGAATGCAGGAGTCAAATCCCGTCGCCAACATGAACACAAACATAAATGTCTGGGCGAGGTGAGAGTTCATCTATTAAACTGACTGAAGATGAATCATAAACAGAAAGCTGGAGTTTAGACATTTTTCATAGTAGCCCCTGCTCACAAATAGGCAGGTTATTTATTATTACATTGAATATAATTTCAGACTTTTCTTCAGGTTAACTTAGAAAGTGAGCTGTTTTTGTTACAAGTTAATTTTCTAAACTACAGAAAAGTAACTGTTAGGGATGCTCAAATTTGAAAAATTGAACTGATGTTATGTGATAGCAACACTGGTGTTATGTTAGATTTACCGATGTTTTATCTTATCTTTTTTTATCCGCTTACCCGATTAATCGAAAGAATAATCGATGGATTACTCGATTACTAAAATATTTGTTTACAGCAGCCCTACGCCACACAGAATATGGAATTAAAAAGAGTTGAGCATTAAGACCAGCGGTGAGAACGTAGCCTCACATCTCCACCAGAACCGGTCCGGGTTCCTCCCATGAAACGTTTCCAGGTTCCATCAAATCAAAATTCAGAAAACTGAGTTTCGATGTTTCAGAATCCTTCATGTCTGCAGCCACACTCTCCTCATCCCCACTTGGTCCAGCTGTCTGAACCATCTGGACATGTGTCACTTTAATAAGTTGTTCAGTAAAGAGAACAGAGTAAATGTGACCATCAGTCAGTGTTGGTGTTTGTTCCTGCCGTGTGGCTCCTCATGTGGACGTTCAGAGTTCCTCTCTGGATGAAACTTTTCCCACAGGTCCCGCAGGTGAAGGGTCTCTCGCCGGTGTGCGTTCTAACGTGAGCTTTCAGGTCCCCCTTACTGATGAAACATTTCCCACAGCGTTCACACAGGTACGGCCTCTCGCCCGTGTGCGTCCTCGTGTGGACCTTCAGCGCTGCGTTTTTGGTGAAGCTTTTCCCGCAGGTTTCGCAGAAATGCAGCCGACCCTGCGTGTGGATCCTGCGGTGGGCTTTGAGCGACGTGTAGTTCCCAAAGCCTTTCCCACACGTCTCGCAGGGAAACGGCCTCTCGTCTGCGTGGGTTCCCCTGTGGAAGTTCAGGTTGGTCACCACCGTAAAACTTTTACCGCAGATTTCGCAGGCGTACGGCCTCTCGCCGGTGTGGATCCGCATGTGGACGTTCAGGCTGACCACCTGAGAGAAACTTTTCCCGCAGGTGTCACAGGAGAAGGGCCGCTCGCCGGTGTGGGTCCTGATGTGGTTCTTCAGGTGGCCGCTCTGCGTGAAGCCTTTCCCGCAGATCGTACAAGCGTACGGCCGCACGCCTGAGTGGATCCTCTGATGGCGGTTGAAGTGATGCTTCTTCTTAAAGACTTTCCCACAAACGTCGCATTTGACCGATTTATCGGCGGCGGACACCGTCGGATCAGATGCGGGGAAGCTGCGTTCTTCGTGGCTCTGGTTCCCAGCCGAAGGGAAGCTGACGGCGTACAGACCCTGGATGTTGGGTTCTCCCTCACTGAGGTCGGCTTCCTGGCTCAGAGGTTCAGTGAAATCGAAATGCTCCTGCTTCAGGATGAACTGCTCCACCTGCTGGCTGCTGCATGCCTCCTCTTCCTCTTCCTCCTCTTTAATCTGCAGCAGTTCTGGTTGTTCCTCTTTAACCTCCTCCTGGTTCGGTCCAGTCGGAGGTTCTGGTTCGTCCAGCTCCTCTTTAACCTCTGCACACCGCGGCTCCTCCTGTGGAGGTTCTGCTTCCTGCTGGTTCTGATTCAACCAGGAATATTCTGGTTCCTTCTGGCTGTCTGGATGATGGAGACGCCTGCGTTCCTGCTGGTTCCTCTGGAAACGTGGAGGTTCTGGTTCTTCACTGGCACTCTGGTCAGTTTGAACCCCATCCTCACCATGGAAACGATGATTTGGGCGCTCTGCAGGGAAGAGGAATGATGGAGATCATTAAAGTGACGACCATCATGGAGCTGCAGGAAGAAGCAGCTGTTTCTCCTCAGGGCTTCATCTGTTTAATTTCTTTAGAGATGTTGGTTTCTGAGATCTCTTAGCCTACTTCATGTTGTCAGACAGGTTCTATTTAAGAGATTTCATGACTCAGTCAGGCAGTGATCAGGTCTGGTTTTAGGAAGTAAAATGGAACCAAAAATGTGTTTAGTTCAGGATGTAACAAGTGAAATTCGTTTTATATAACTCAATAATTGAATCATCACTTAAAAACAGTTTAATCAGTTTATCACATCAAAGTTTGAAGATCTGAAACATTTACATGAGCAAAAACTAAGGAGATCTGGATGTTACTAAATACTTTTCCCTGTGGTTCTTTTCCTTCATTCATCAGAGTCTGTCTGATCCAATCAGTCTGCAGCTTTTCTTCTGATTGGATCTGATCTCTAATCAGCAGGTTTGGAGCTGAAACATTTTATTTATTTTATTTATTTAGTAAATACTCCAAAAGCTAAAAACTGACCACATTACAGTTTATAATGTGGTTTATGACTCAAGTTAAACACTGAGGGTCGGTTGATCTTCATATCAGTTGTTCTGGACTGAAACTCGGAGTTTGTTCTCAGATTATTTTAACGGATCAGAACCGACTGTTGTCCTGGAGCTGAAAGAAAATCCTGACTGTTCTGCTCTTTGTTTACAACTATTTATTCTTCAAAATTTCCGCATTTCAAATTTTAAGCACGGGATTAATTGAGTGCTTGTTAGTTTGGCTTTTTGAGATTTCTTACCGGTCGTGGTGAGTTTTATCTGAGGTTTATTCCAGCAGGTTTCTATCAGTTTAATGTCCTCCTCGTAGCGGACGATGGTTTTTTCTACCTGAATGAAGATTTCTTCCGCAGCAGCAGTTAGTCTCTCTCTGATAAAATCTCTCAGATGCTGAACTGAAGACATTGTTACTGAGATATTCAGCTGAAACACGAAAACACAACACAGCTGCTGCTGGAGTCGTTTTGTTTTACTTCCGCTGGGGGTCAAACTGAGACAAAGCAGCTGATTGGTCCATTTCCGCCCCCTGCTGGACTGGAGGCGAACAACAAAGCAGACAACGAATGTTTCTACATTTACCTGATTAATTTGAAGCTTTATTACCACATGTAACCTATATTACATCAAGAAACATTAGGATAATTGAATAAATAATCCAAGTTGGATCCAATCAGAATAATTCTTAAATTAGGTTCGTCTGCTGGAGGAAGTGGCAAATTGTAAAAACACAGACAACCAGATGGTGCAAAACTAGTGAATTGTATTAGTATTTACAATATACAGGTTACTCAAACAGTTTGTGAAGTCCAGAATAGTTTCCTTTATCCAAGGAGTTCAATAGTTTCTTGCTGGTAATGAAAGGAATAGTGAACAAAAATAATAATCCAGATCTTTTCAGAGTGGTCCAGGCCAGAGTGAAGATTTTTGGCTGAATGTCTCCAACCGATTCGGAAGAAGTTCCTCGGTGATAGGAAGTTGATAGGGTGTGGTATTTCTGTGATCCACCAGTCTGGACGTTATGATACCAGACAGTCTAGGATTTTAAGATCTTGAAGTAGAATCCTTGAATGGGAACCTGGCCAGTTCCCACTTGACAAACTGTGGTCGCTTGAACGTTTTGGCTGAACATTCACATGTCCGCATATCAGCATCTGACAGCATCTCCTCCCTAGGCTGCTGTTCATCAGCCATATAAACAGCAGCTGTAAATTTAGGACGCTGACGTGCAGCTGTCGTGTGACTTTAAAACCTCGCGAGAATACTGTTGTTCTCGCGAGGTTTAGTTTGTGCTGAATAAATTAAGGAAAGGAGGATTTTTATTTTTTAATTAAATCTTTAAATAAAATAAATAAAACTGAATCTAACAAAATGTAAAAATTATCCTGGTTGCACACAGTTAAAGAAATAAAAAGTATTGACACCTCTCTGAGGTACGGATTTAAAATCACTTCCATCCAAGTGAGAAGTTTGTTTCTGATTAAAAATAAGAGGCTCCTTTTAAAGCTGTTCTATAACAGATGCAAAGGAGAATCAATTTTGAGAGAATTAATTCTTATCTACATTTCATTTCATTTGAAAAATTGCAGAGGTTTCTTCTACATGATGACTCTCAAAAGTAAATGAAAATGATCTAAAATAACAGCAACATGAACTACAACTGATTCCAGGTTCAAATAAAATGATGATCCCAAGCAAGGCAACTTTATTATACAGAACAATTCTTACACAGGGTAATCCAAAAGGTTCTTCCTGAAATAAAAGGATCATTAAAACCACAAAAAACCTGACAACTCTGCTTAGCAATCAAGTTCAGGATGTCAAACATTTAGCAATCAAATAAATAGAAATAAATGTTGGAACAGATTTAACCTTCAGTCTGAAAC